TCCTACTGGTTTCCACTGTAAATACTTCTTTAAATCTTGTGTTGAGCTCCTGACATACCTCCCGGTCGTTTCTTGTGAATTCCCCATTACCCTTCCTCAGTCTGATTACCTGGTCCTTGACTGTTGTTTTCCTCCTGATGTGGCTGTACAACAGCTTCGGGTCAGTCTTGACTTTCGATGCTATGTCATTTTCTTATTGCCGCTGAGCCTCCCTTCTTATCTGTGCATATTCGTCTCTGGCTCTTCGGCTAATCTCTTTATTTTCCTGAGTTCTCTGTCTTCTGTACCTTTTCCAATCTCTAGTACACCTAGTTTTTGCCTCCCTACACCTTTGGGTGAACCAAGGACTCGTTCTGTTCTTCCCATTATTTCTGTTTCCCTTGGGAACAAACCTCTCCTCTGCCTCCTTGCATTTTGTTGCCACATAGTCCATTTCTTGTACTGGTTTTCCTGTCAGTTCCCTCTCCCACTGAATGTCTTGAAAGAAGTTCCTCAAGCCTGAGTAGTTCCCCCTTTTGTAGTTTGGTTTTTCCCACCCTATTCCTGCTGCTCTCTCCACTTGGAGCTCAACTATGTAGTCAAAGCACAGAACCACATGATTACTAGCTCACAGGGGCCTTTCATACATGATATCCTCGATGTCAAAACTACTCAAGGTGAATACAAGGTTAAGTCTTGCTGGTTCATCCTCTCCTCTCTCTCTGGTAGTGTCTCTAACATGTTGATGCATGAGGTTTTCCATCATCTTGGCTCTCCATGTTTTGGGACCCCCATGGGGCTCCAGGTTTTCCCAGTCAATCTCCTTGTGATTGAAATCACCCATAACTAGTAACTTTGCTCCCCCCATGTGTGCTCTCCTGGCCACCTCGGCTAGTGTGTCGACCATTGCTCTGTTGCTCTCATCGTATTCTTCTCTTGGCCTCCTGCAGTTCTGTGGTGGGTTGTACATTACTGCAATTATCACCTTATGTCCCTTAGACTGGATTGTTCCTACTAAGTAGTCCCTTTCGCCAGTGCCATTCATTCCTTCCATTTTCTCAAACCCCAACTGGTTTTTAATGAGTAGTGCAACTCCTCCTCCCCCTCTCCTCCCTCTGTCTTTCCTGAGGATTTGATATCCAGATGGAAAGATTGAATCTCTTATTATTCTGTGTGTGTGTGTGTGTGCGTGCGTGCATGTGCATGTGTCTGAGGTGTGTGTGTGATGTGTGTGAGTGATGTGCGTGTGAGTGATGTGCGTGTGAGTGATGTGTGTGTGATGTGTGTGTGTGGTGTGATGTGTGTGTGTGTGTGATGTGTGTGTGTGTGTGATGTGTGTGTGTGTGTGATGTGTGTGTGTGTGTGATGTGTGTGTGTGTGTGATGTGTGTGTGTGGTGTGTGTGTGTGTGTGTGTGTGTGTGTGTGTGTGTGTGTGTGTGTGTGTGTGTGTGTGTGTGTGTGTGTGTGTGTGTGTGTGTGTGATTGTGTGTCATGTGTGTTTGTGTGTGTGATGTGTGTGTGATGTGTGTGATGTGTGTGTGTGATGTGTGTGTGATGAGTTGTGTGTGATGAGTGTGTGTGATGTGTGTGATGAGTGTGTGTGATGAGGTGTGTGTGATGAGTGTGTGCGATGAGTGTGTGCGATGAGTGGTGATGTGTGTGTGTGTTGTGTGTGTGTGATGTGTGTGTGTGATGTGTGTGGTGTGATGTGTGTGTGTGATGTGTGTGTGTGATGTGTGTGTGTGATATGTGTGTGTGATATGTGTGTGTGATGTGTGTGTGATGTGTGTGTGGTGTGTGTGTGTGTGTGTGTGTGTGTGTGGTGTGTGTGTGTGGTGTGTGTGTGTGGTGTGTGTGTGTGTGGTGTGTGTGTGTGGTGTGTGGTGTGTGTGTGTGGTGTGTGGTGTGTGTGGTGTGTGGTGTGTGTGTGTGGTGTGTGCTCACGCACACTTGCTGGAAGGCCAAGCCCCTAACCAACAAAACCTCCTTGACACCCTCCCTCCAAACTTTTCAGGGACGACCCCTACCCCACCTTCGTTCCCTTATGGACTTGTACACTCTACAAGTCATTCTACTTTACTCCATTCTCTCTAAATGACCACACCACCTCAACATCAACTCTTCATCCCTCTAATACTTGTAGTAACTCCACACCTTCTAATTTCTACACTACAAATTCTCTGCATATTTACATCACACATTGCCCTCAGACATCTCCACTGCCATCACCTCCTCGCTGCAGCATTTACAAATCATGCTTCACACTCATAAGTGTGTTGGTACCACTTTACATTCGTACATTCCGTTTTTTGCCTCCACGGGTAATGTTTTTTTGTCTCCACAGAAACCTCAAAGCACAACTCACCTTTTTCCCCTTATCAATTCTATGGTTAACCTCATCCTTCATAAACCCATCCGCTGACAAGTCAACTCCCAAATATCTGAGAACATTCACTTCTTCCTCTAGGTAGTAGGTTGGTAGACAGCAATCGCCCAGGGAGGTACTACCGTCCTGCCGAGTGAGTGTAAATCGGAAGCCTGTAATTGTTTTACATGATGGTAGGATTGCTGGTGTCTCTTGTCTGTCTCATAAACATGCAAGATTTCAGGTATGTCTTGCTACTTCTACTTGCACTTAGGTCACACTACACATACATGTACAAGCATATGTATACATACACCCCTCTGGGTTTTCTTCTATTTTCTTTCTAGTTACTGTTCTTGTTTATTTCCTCTTACATCCATGGGGAAGTGGAACAGAATTCTTCCTCCGTAAGCCATGCGTGTTTTAAGAGGCAACTGAAATGCCGGGAGCAAGGGGCTAGTAATCCCTTCTCCTATACAAATTACTTAATTTAAGAAGAAAAACTTTCATTTTTCTTTTTGGGCCACCCTGTTTTGGTGGGATACGGCCGGTTTGTTGAAAGAAGCAAAAAAAAAAAAAAAAAAAAATAAAAAATGATTAAGGTATATACATGGAAAACAGGAATTAATAAAAGGGGATGTAAATAGTGCTAAAAATAGACAGGACTCACAGCAATGGTTTCAAATTGGAAAAATTCAGATTCAGGAAGGATATAGAAAAGCACTGGTTTGGTAATAGAGGTGTGGGTGAGTGGAACAAACTCCCGAGTACCGTCATAGAAGCAAAGACACTGTGTAATTTTAAAAATAGGTTGGATAAATACACAAGTGGGTGTGGGTGGGTGCGAGTCGGACCTGACTTGCTTGTGCTACTAGGGCAGATGCCGTGCTCCTCCCTTAAGTGAATGTGACTGACCTGACTAGGTTTAGGCATTGGCTTAAGCTGGTGGGAGAATTGGACCTGCCTCGCATGGGCCAGTAGGGCTGTTGCAGTGTTCCTTCTTTCTTACATTCTTATGATTTAATTATATAAAAATGAATAAACAAAATAGAATGACTAAGAGAAGGTACATGAACCGAATGTGGAAGGGTGCAGTGTAGTGAATATCTGAAGAAGGGATGGAGGAAGAGCAGTCAAGGTTCTGAGAGGCAGGTGTCTGAGTATCTATCGAGCTAATGTAAGAATGTTAAGAGTGCAGTGAGCGGAGACTTGTGGTTCATTTGTATTTTGATCTCTATGAATCTCTAGAAAGACAGCTAGGAAATAAGTGATGGTGAATGTCTTTTTCTTGTCTGGGTTACCCCTGCCTTGGTGGGAAATAGCTGATGTTTTAAAACATACTATACATACATATAGTGCACACACTTGTATTTACCTATTTCTAGTAAAGAAACAGTGCATATTAGCAAGGCTAAAATAAGCAGTACAGAACACTTTTTACTTCATCCCTATGTGGGCCTATCTGTGCCACTTACTAATCTTTAATATAATTTTGTGTTAAGAAAGAGTGCAGAAGGGATGAAGGCAAGGTGGGCAAGTGTTAAGAATGTAGGTCAGAGCTCAGTAGATACTTTATAACTAAGGTGACATACTACACTTACGTTATTCACTCTCCCATCACTCAACTACCCACACCTGCCATTAGTAATAGCCACTGTTTTCCACCAAATTAAATAACAAAAAATATACAATATATAGTTAACAGATAAATGTCACAAAACTGATACAAAATGATGCATTTTTGTATTTTATGATTATATTCAATGACTTGAGTCCTGGAAATGGGAAGTACAATGCCTGCACTTTAAAGGAGGGGTTTGGGATATTGGCAGTTTGGAGGGATATGTTGTGTATCTTTATACGTATATGCTTCTAAACTGTTGTATTCTGAGCACCTCTGCAAAAGCAGTGATAATGTGTGAGTGTGGTGAAAGTGTTGAATGATGATGAAAGTATTTTCTTTTTTGGGGGATTTTCTTTCTTTTTTGGGTCACCCTGCCTCGGTGGGAGACGGCCGACTTGTTGAAAAAAAAAAAAAAATTCAATGAATATTTCACAATGCTCTTATTAACAACAAACAGTAGGCTTTTATAAAGTGCCTCTATACATTGCATTTTTTTTGTATATGCAACTGAAAAAGCAGAGTACATTCAAAATTGAATAGCACGTGGAAAGGCCTTTATAATAAGTGCTATTCAATTTTTATTAACTTTTTCAGTCACACAATATATAAAGGAATATTATAAGAGCTTAATATAAAAATTACTTGAAAATTCAGAGACTTTCAAAACTGATTTAAATAAGAGTCCTAAAGTGTAAGCTTGCTACACCTGCCTGACACTAGCAAGTGCCTACTAGATATTACTATGACCTGCAAATGTTCCCTGATTACCAAAAAATGCTAGAGTAATTCACAAGCCCATTTTTACAAAGAGCAGTTGACTGGCATGAATGCCACACACTAAAGCAAAACCAAATAAATTAAAATGCAAGTAGGAGAGCAGACCCAACAGTTTGTGAGCTGCAGCTTCAAAGAATATGTAACTTGCCCTTCTCAAGCACATACACTGATAACATCTCAAATTCCCTTTCAGATATAGAGTAATACAGAATTCCTACTTCAGTAATAAAAATTACAAGGTGTGATCAACTTACCTGTTGCCTGCAGCCTGACTGTTCCGTCCTGGGCCTGTACTCTGAACACCTGGGCCAGATGCAGAGGAAACAGTACTGGCAGAGCTGGAGTTATTGGTTGAGGAAGGTGATGAAGTCGAAGTGGAGAGTGGATTACCACCAAGGCGGACGCCCAGTTGGTTTGTAATTGAGGAAACTATATTCTGAATGAGTTCTGGAGGGGGAGCAGATCCACCTGAAAAATTAGATATGAAAGGTAAACACAAAATTAGGACCATCTACACAAAAATTCCTAATTTATACCATAAAGGCAGAATTACCGCACTATCGGGAGCAGGGCTGGATAATTATGGATAGCAAGTCACTTCAGGCAATTCTCAACAATGGCTCAAAATAAAGCCATGTACATGTATATGTAAGAAGTATCATACACTTATTATAAGTTAGGCTAAATAAAAAAAAAAATCCCTAAGAAACATTCAATGTTTACAGACATTGTGATGAAATAATAAACTCACTCACTGGTAAGAATAATAGTGATCATGTGCATTAATTAGATAAATGAGGTCATGTGTTCTACACTGTTCCAAAAACAACATATTAATTTAATGTTATTAACTGGTCATCACAGATCAGTTTTCATTAATCATATTTAAAGAAGAAGCAGAAGAAGAAGAAGAAGCAGAAGCAGAAGCAGAAGAAGAAGAAGCAGAAGAAGAAGAAGCAGAAGAAGAAGAAGCAGAAGAAGAAGAAGCAGAAGAAGCAGAAGAAGAAGAAGCAGAAGAAGAAGCAGAAGAAGAAGAAGAAGAAGCAGAAGAAGAAGAAGCAGAAGAAGAAGAAGCAGAAGCAGAAGAAGAAGAAGAAGAGAAGAAGAAGAAGAAGCAGAAGAAGAAGAAGAAGAAGAAGCAGAAGAAGAAGAAGAAGAAGCAGAAGAAGAAGAAGCAGAAGAAGAAGAAGAAGAAGCAGAAGAAGAAGCAGAAGCAGAAGCAGAAGAAGAAGAAGCAGAAGAAGAAGAAGCAGAAGAAGAAGCAGAAGAAGAAGAAGCAGAAGAAGAAGCAGAAGAAGCAGAAGCAGAAGAAGAAGCAGAAGAAGCAGAAGAAGAAGAAGAAGAAGAAGAAGAAGCAGAAGAAGAAGCAGAAGAAGAAGCAAGAAAAGAAGAAGAAGAAGAAGAAGAAGAAGAAGAAGCAGAAGAAGAAGAAGAAGAAGAAGAAGAAGAAGCAGAAGAAGAAGAAGCAGAAGAAGAAGAAGCAGAAGAAGAAGAAGCAGAAGAAGAAGAAGAAGAACGAAGAAGAAGCAGAAAGAAAGAAGCAAAGAAGAAGAAGCAGAAGAAAGAAGAAGAGAAGAAGAAGAAGCAGAAGAAGAAGAAAAGAAGCAGGAAGAAGCAGAAGAAGAAGCAGAAGAAGAAGAAGAAGAAAGCAGAAAGAAGAAGCAAAGAAGAAGAAGCAGAAGCAGAAAAGAACAGAAAAGAAGAAGAAGCAGAAGAAGGCGAAGAAGAAGCAGAAGAAGAAGAAGCAAGAAGCAGAAGAAGAAGCAGAAGAAGAAGAAGAAGAAGAAGAAGAAGCAAGAAGAAGAAGCAGAAGAAGAAAGAAGAAGAAAAGAAGAAGAAGAAGAAGCAGCAGAAGAAGAAAGAAAAGAAAAAAGAAGAAAGAAGAAGCAGAAGAAGAAGAAGAAGAAGAAGAAGAAGAAGCAGAAGAAGAAGAAGCAGAAGAAGAAGAAGCAGAAGAAGAAGAAGCAGAAAAGAAGAGAAGAAAGCAGAAGAAGAAGAAGCAGAAGAAGAACGAAGCAGAAGAAGAGGAAGAAGAAGCAGAAGAAGAAGAAGCAGAAGAAAGAAGAAGAAAACAGAAGAAGAAGAAGCAGAAGAAGAAAGGCAAGAAGAAGAAGCAGAAGAAGAAGAAGAAGCAGAAGAAGAAGCAAAGAAAGAACAGAAGAAAAGAAGAAAAAAGAGAAGCAGAAGAAGAAGAAGCAGAAGAAGAAGAAGCAAAGCAGAGAAGCAAAGCAGAAGAAGAAAAGCAGAAGAAGAAGAAGAAGCAAAGAAGAAGAAGAAGAAGAAGCAGAAGAAGAAGAAGAAGCAGAAGAAGAAGCAGAAGAAGAAGAAGCAGAAGAAAGAAGCAGAAGAAGAAGAGCAGAAGAAGCAGAAGAGCAGAAAAGAAGAAGCAGAAGACAGAAGAAGCAAGAAGAAAAGCAAAAGAAGCAGAAGAAGCAGAAGCAGAAGAAGAAGAAGCAGAAGAAGAAGAGAAGAAGAAGCAGAGAAGAAGAAGAAGAAAGAAGAAGCAGAAGAAGAAGAAGAAGCAGAAGAAGAACAGAAGCAGAAGAAGAAGAAGCAGAGAAGAAGAAGCAGAAGCAGAAAAGAAGAAGCAGAAGCAGAAGAAGCAGAAGAAAAAGAAGAAGCAGAAGAAGAAGAAGAAAGAAGAAGAAGAAGCAGAAGAAGAAGAAGAAGAAGAAGAAAGCAAAGAAGAAAGAAGCAGAAGAAGAAGAAGAAGAAGAAGCAGAAGAAGAAGAAGAGAAGAAGAAGAAGCAGAAGAAGAAGAAGCAAAGAAAAGAACAGAAGAAGCAGAAGCAGAGAAGCAGAAAGAAGAAGAAGCAGAAGAAGAAGAAGAAGCAAAGAAGACAGAAGAAGCAGAAAAAGCAGAAGCAGAAAAGAAGAAGAAGCAGAAGAAGAAGAAGCAGAAGAAGAAGAAGAAAGAAGAAGCAAGCAAGAAGAAGAAGGCAGAAGAAGAAGAAGAAGCAGACAGAAGAAGCAGAAGCAGAAGCAGAAGAAGCAGAAGAAGCAAGAAGAAGAAGCAGAAGAAGAAGCAAGCAGACGAAGAAGAAGCAGAAGAAGAAGACCGAGAAGCAGGAAGAAGAAGAAGCAGAAGAAGAAGAAGAAGCAGAGAAGAAGAAGAAAGAAGCACAAGCAGCAGCAGCAGCAGCAGAAGCAGACAGCAAGCAGCAGCCGCAGCAGCACAGCGCAGCAGCAACGAAGCAGCCGCAGCAAGCAGCAGCAGCAGCCAGCAGCAGCAGCCGCAGCAGCAGCAGCCGCAAGCAGCAGCAGCAGCCAGCAGCAGCAGCAGCAGCAGCAGCAGCAGCAGCAGAGCAGCAGCAGCAAGCAGCAGCAGCAGCAGCAGCAGACAGCAGCAGCAAGCAGCAGCCGCAGCAAGCAGCAGCCGCAGCAGCACAGCAGCAGCCGCAAGCAGCCAGCGCAGCAAGCAGCAGCACCGCAGCAAGACAGCACAGAGGCAGCAGCAGCAGCCGCAGCAGCAGCAGCCGCAGCAGCCGCAGCAGCAGCAGCAGCAGCCACAGCAGCAGCAGCAGCAGCAGCGCAGCCGCAGCCCGCACAGCAGCCGCAGCAGCAGCAGCAGCGCCGCGCAGCAGCAGCAGCAGCCGCAGCAGCAGCCGCAGCAGCACAGCCGCAGCAGCAGCAGCCCGCCGCAGCCAGCAGCCGCGCACAGCAGCCGCAGCAGCAGCGCCGCAGCGCAGCACGCAGCAGCAGCAGCCGCAGCCAGCAGCCGCAGCCGCAGCAGCCGCAGCCGCAGCCGCAGCAGCGCAGCAGCAGCAGCAGCAGCACCAGCAGCAGCAGCCGCAGCAGCAGCAGCAGCAGCAGCAGCAGCAGCCGCAGCAGCAGCAGCAGCCGCAGCAGCAGCAGCCGCAGCAGCAGCAGCCGCAGCAGCAGCAGCCGCAGCAGCCGCAGCAGCAGCCGCAGCAGCAGCAGCCGCCGCAGCAGCAGCCGCCGCAGCAGCCGCAGCCGCAGCCGCAGCCGCAGCCGCAGCAGCAGCCGCAGCTGCAGCAGCAGCCGCAGCCGCCGCAGCCGCCTCACTTTTTTTCAACACACCACTTGCCTCCCACTTAGGTAGGGTGACAAAAAAGTAAAAAATATTTTAGCAGTCACTCATTAACCCCTTGACTGTTGCAACCCCAAATCCTGAGGTGTCTCCTGGTGTCGCAAAATTTCAAAAAAAAAAAATTGTAATGACACAAAAAAAAACGAAATTTGACAGAAAACTGACGGAATTACGCTCTCGCGAAGTTAGCGACCTCGGCAACATTTACAAATTGGCGATTTTGCCCACTTTGAGCCCTATTTTCGGCTAATTCCATTGTTCCAGTCGACCAAACTCAGCTATTTCTTTAGAACTCCATTTTTTCTATCGATTGAGTACAAGAAATTGCCCATTTACTGATTTCAACTACCCAATAACGTGGTCAGAAATTTGCAATTTGGCCAATTTCACGAAAATTAAAAAATATGACAACTTCAAAACAAGGTCCAGAATGAACAATGCAGACATTCCTGGCTCTAAGATAACATTTTCTTTGTTCACCAGTCACATCTCCAGGCCCCTCTGATATTACTCTTGCTTTCTATTTTGAATTTTTATTCAAACAAAAAATAGAAGATTTACTGTTATGCAGACTACTGCAATATTGTAATAGTTGTACAAATAATGTCAACCCATTCATGACTGCATATTAGAATGGCTAGATGGACATTTATTGGACAATGACATCATTTGTTTAATTTTGAACATCGGCAAAAATCAAACATTTACCCTAGTTTGAGATCCATTTCCAGGTTCTGTTTATAGTAAAACCAACCAAAATCACCTCTATTTCTATAATATGTTCTCCATTCTATCAAATGAGACCAAGAAAACGAGAATACAACCATAAATAATATACAAAAATGGACCACAAATTCGGCATTTTAATTAAAAAAAACGGTTGGGTTTTTTTTACTCTCATTATGCACTGCTCCAGGATTTTTTTATATGGTGCACACTGACCACACAGACCCATTCTCTCACATGTGGGCCTACCAGCTTTCTCCTGCTTGATTTGAAGCCGCTAGAATTTATGAGTATATATACATCAAAAACGGTGGCTCGTAAGACGTATACGACCAAAACAGTCAAAGGGTTAAGAGTCAAAATAGAGATGAAAAATTATTATTATTCTTTACAGGAAAAATTTGTTCACTACCCAAACAGATCAGCACTCGAACAGCCTTCTGGAATAAAGTTCAAGTACCGAGGTACTACTGTATGAATAAAAAAAGCATACACCATACTGTAAAAAATAATAAAAATATAATACTGATAATTCAGCCTCATTAATGTTTTAAATATTTAACCTATAGTTTTTGACCAATCTCTACCAAATAAATGCACCTGCCTCTATATATGCATAAAATGAGCAGTTTATTAATATATTTGGCAAAAAAAAATTAGGAAAAATTAAAAATTTAAAATAATGATCGAATATTTGCAATGATCATAACTGCAGGTCAGCATTCATTCACTTATTATACACTTTGTGTATAATAAGTGAGGAACACTAAATCAGAGCATCACAAGTTGGAGGCCAAATGTATTACAGAATGCTATTTTGTGGAATAAGAAAGTCTAACAATTTTTCTTTTTAATACATCAGCCATTTCCCATTGAGGTGGGGTGACCCAAAAAATAAGACACTATTATTATCCAATTAAATTTTAACTACATCAACAGCTCTCTCTCACTCTTCCTAGCCCCGAGTCCTTTGTTTTCTTCTGCGTGATAAAAATACAAACAATTATAAGACAACCAGTAACTATTTTCATCTATAGAGTAAAATTTGCACAAAAGAGATCTCTCACAAATACAGACCTGCACCACTACCTTCAGCAGAAACAGAGTCGATGGTGATTCCATGTGGCCCCACCTCCATCAGCACTAAGTCACCTCCATCCATAGGAAATCCTTGCATGGATCCTAAATTTAACAGAGAGGCTAAACTGCGAGCTTGTGCTGCTGCAGCTTGAGACACATTACTAGTAGAGGATGTATTAGAGCTAGAACTTGTAGATGCTGTTGAGGGAGTGGCAGAAGAGGATGCAGAGGAAACAGGTAGAGTAATACTGGTGCCACCTGGCCCAGGAATGGTGAAAAACCGAGCTGACGAAGACACTGAGGATGAGGTGGAAGCGGTTGTTGTATTTGCTGAAGCTGTGGTAGGTGTGGAGCTTGTGGTAGATGCTGGGGGACTGGCAGTGCTAGGACGGCCGCCACTCCTTCCGGTCACACTCACTCGTGCTGGGTCAGAACTGGTTGTTACGTTGATCTGGGCCTGAAAGAGAATTAATCCTAATGTTGTACAGACTACCAACACTTGTAAAGAGCTCTAATACCTAAGGTAAAACTTCGTAAAATTAACTTAACACTGTTCGGTTTGAAGGAGGGGAAAAAATCTGGAGCATTAGCCACAGGATATTTCCCTAGCTTAGGCCACAGCCTGGCTGTGGGTGTGACCACTGTCTCCACGGGGCTGCACCAGGCTTCAAGGCAGCAAAGGATCATTTCACCTTGCTCCTTTGCAGAAATGCATCAGGTGATTTCAAGTGTAAGCCCATGGTTATTTACCGCTCTAAGATTTCTCGTGCTTTGAAAGGTGTAAATAAAAACACCTTACCAGTAATTTGGAGGTCAAACCAGTCAGCATGGATGACAGAGGAAATATTTATTAACTGATTTAAGCATCACTTTATTCCTGAAGTCAAGTTTTACCTGCACAGCAAGAACCTTGCATTCAAGGCTCTCTTCATTCTTGATAATTCCTGTACTCATCCAGAAGCTTTGCTGGATGTGACCTCACATATAAAAGTTGTATTTTTACCTACGAATACATCTATAATACAACCACTGAATCAGGGAGTTAAGTCATTTAAGTGTAATTACACAAGAAAAGTTATGAAAAAACTAGTTGCATCAATGTACTCTTGACTCCAACCTGGCAGTACCAAGCTTCTGGAATAATGTATAATGTACTGTAGGGTACAAGAAGCCAGAGATCCATTACAGAATTTATGCATACTCCAACACAACCATTGACTTTAGTACCAGAACCTCAACCATCCACTTCTGTCGACAACCAACAACCATCTACCTCAGCCCAGCAGGGCCACACCATGCATCTCCACTCTCTTCACTGACATACACCAGCAACCAGATAAGCTATGGCAGGAAAAGAGGGACTACAAATGTATAAATTCAAGGATTATGTGGAGTAAAATAAAGATTGGATGTGAAAAGTGGGTTATAGTAAGCGTGTATGCACCTGGAGAAGAGAGAAGTGTAGAGGAGAGAGAGAGATTCTGGGAAATGTTGAGTGAATGCATGGGGAGTTTTGAATCAAGTGTGAGAGTAATGGTGGTTGGGGATTTCAATGCTAAAGTGGGTAAAAATGTTATGGAGGGAGTAGTAGGTAAATTTGGGGTGCCAGGGGGAAATGTAAATGGGGAGTCTTTAATTGAGCTATGTGTAGAAAGAAATTTGGTAATAAGTAATACATATTTTATGAAAAAGAGGATAAATAAATATATAAGGTATGATGTAGCACGTAACGAAAGTAGTTTGTTAGATTATGTATTGGTGGATAAAAGGTTGATGGGTAGGCTCCAGGATGTACATGTTTATAGAGGGGCAACTGATATATCGGATCATTATTTAGTTGTAGCTACAGTTAGAGTAAGAGGTAGATGGGAAAAGAGGAAGGTGGCAACAACAAGTAAGAGGGAGGTGAAAGTGTATAGGCAACAACAAGTAAGAGGGAGGTGAAAGTGTATAAACTAAGGGAGGAGGAAGTTCGGGCGAGATATAAGCGACTATTGGCAGAAAGGTGGGCTAGTGCAAAGATGAGTAGTGGGGGGGGGGGGGTTGAAGAGGGTTGGAATAGTTTTAAAAATGCAGTATTAGAATGTGGGGCAGAAGTTTGTGGTTATAGGAGGGTGGGGGCAGGAGGAAAGAGGAGTGATTGGTGGAATGATGAAGTAAAGGGTGTGATAAAAGAAAAAGGTAGCTTACGAGAGGTTTATACAAAGCAGAAGTGTTATAAGAAGAGCAGAGTATATGGAGAGTAAAAGAAAGGTGAAGAGAGTGGTGAGAGAGTGAAAAAGGAGAGCAGATGAAAGAGTGGGAGAGGCACTGTCAACAAATTTTAATGAAAATAAGAAAAAATTTTGGAGTGAGTTAAACAAGTTAAGAAAGTCTAGGGAAAGTATGGATTTGTCTGTTAAAAACAGAGTAGGGGAGTTAGTAGATGGGGAGAGGGAGGTATTAGGTAGATGGCGAGAATATTTTGAGGAACTTTTAAATGTTGAGGAAGAAAGGGAGGCGGTAATTTCATGCACTGGCCAGGGAGGTATACCATCTTTAGGAGTGAAGAAGAGCAGAATGTAAGTGTGGTGGAGGTACGTGAGGCATTACGTAAAAATGAAACGGGGGTAAAGCAGCTGGAACTGATGGGATCATGACAGTAATGTTAAAAGCAGGAGGGGGATATAGTGTTGGAGTGGTTGGTACTTTTGTTTAATAAATGTATGAAAGAGGGGAAGGTACCTAGGGATTGGCAGAGAGCATGTATAGTCCCTTTATATAAAGGGAAAGGGGACAAAAGAGATTGTAAAAATTATAGAGGAAAAAGTTTACTGAGTATACCAGGAAAAGTATACGGTAGGGTTATAATTGAAAGAATTAGAGGTAAGACAGAATGTAGAATTGCGGATGAGCAAGGAGGCTTCAGAGTGGGTAGGGGATGTGTAGATCAAGTGTTTACATTGAAGCATATATGTGAACAGTATTTAGATAAAGGTAGGGAAGTTTTTATTGCATTTATGGATTTAGAAAAGGCATATGATAGAGTGGATAGAGGAGCAATGTGGCAGATGTTGCAAGTATATGGAATAGGTGGTAAGTTACTAAATGCTGTAAAGAGCTTTTATGAGGATAGTGAGGCTCAGGTTAGGGTGTGTAGAAGAGAGGGAGAATACTTCCGGTAAAAGTAGGTCTTAGACAGGGATGTGTAATGTCACCATGGTTGTTTAATATATTTATAGATGGGGTTGTAAAAGAAGTAAATGCTAGGGTGTTCGGGAGAGGGGTGGGATTAAATTTTGGGGAATCAAATTCAAAATGGGAATTGACACAGTTACTTTTTGCTGATGATACTGTGCTTATGGGAGAGTCTAAAGAAAAATTGCAAAGGTTAGTGGATGAGTTTGAGAATGTGTGTAAAGGTAGAAAGTTGAAAGTGAACATAGAAAAGAGTAAGGTGATGAGGGTATCAAATGATTTAGATAAAGAAAAATTGGATATCAAATTGGGGAGGAGGAGTATGGAAGAAGTGAATGTTTTCAGATACTTGGGAGTTGACGTGTCGGCGGATGGATTTATGAAGGATGAGGTTAATCATAGAATTGATGAGGGAAAAAAGGTGAGTGGTGCGTTGAGGTATATGTGGAGTCAAAAAACGTTGTCTATGGAGGCAAAGAAGGGAATGTATGAAAGTATAGTAGTACCAACACTCTTATATGGATGTGAAGCTTGGGTGGTAAATGCAGCAGCGAGGAGACGGTTGGAGGCAGTGGAGATGTCCTGTCTAAGGGCAATGTGTGGTGTAAATATTATGCAGAAAGTTCGGAGTGTGGAAATTAGGAGAAGGTGTGGAGTTAATAAAAGCATTAGTCAGAGGGCAGAAGAGGGGTTGTTGAGGTGGTTTGGTCATTTAGAGAGAATGGATCAAAGTAGAATGACATGGAAAGCATATAAATCTATAGGGGAAGGAAAGAGGGGTAGGGGTCGTCCTCGAAAGGGTTGGAAAGAGGGGGTAAAGGAGGTTTTGTGGGCGAGGGGCTTGGACTTCCAGCAAGCGTGCATGAGTGTGTTAGACAGGAGTGAATGGAGACGAATGATACTTGGGACCTGACGATCTGTTGGAGTGTGAGCAGGGTAATATTTAGAGAAGGGATTCAGGGAAACTGGTTATTTTCATATAGTCGGACTTGAGTCCTGGAAATGGGAAGTACAATGCCTGCACTTTAAAGGAGGGGTTTGGGATATTGGCAGTTTGGAGGGATATGTTGTGTATCTTTATACATATATGCTTCTAAACTGTTGTATTCTGAGCACCTCTGCAAAAGCAGTGATAATGTGTGAGTGTGGTGAAAGTGTTGAATGATGATGAAAGTATTTTCTTTCTGGGGATTTTCTTTCTTTTTTGGGTCACCCTGCCTCGGTGGGAGACGACCGACTTGTTGGAAAAAAAAAAAATATATATATATATCTTCATTTACTACAAGTACATGTACAAGGTATACAGGCCTAGCTGACATCATTGACATACAGGTCTCCCTCAACATTCGCGTTTTCCACTTTCACGGGCTTCAAACATTCGCGAATTCCCAGCCGCCAAATCATATTTAAAATATGTCATTACATACATTAGGAATTGTGGTGGTGGCAGAGTTTGTTTGGAGATAGGACAAGATAGTCCTTTAATATGACCCTAATATAAACTCTACGGCTTATTTATCGATCACAATTCATCTAATATGATATAATAAACAACATGATATATACTCTAGAATGAATAAACTACGTCATTAACTGTGTCATAAGTGTTGCTGTATTGTTGTTCTTGTTGGGTGTATAAAGGCCAGTGAAAGCATAAGCCATACATAATGGTGGTGGAGGCAGCATCAGAGGAGGTAGAGACTAGAGAAGGCGGTGTTGTCAGTCGCTCTACATAACTCCAACAACATTGGAGTTAGGTTCATGCTGTCCTTTTCCTATCAATTAATCGCTCAACTTACTTGCTACATTGTTAATGCTACACTTTATCGCTGGCTGGCACTATAGCCTTTACTGACTTGTGGTGCTTTAGTATCGTACATATTGCAGAACCACTGAAGGCGGCACATTCTCCCCTCTCTCTTCCTCCTCCACTTTGGTACTCTGCTATGAGTTCTTTCTTGAATTCTATAGTTTTTCTCACCTTTACCAAAGGGCTGGCACTAGTACAATATTTTACGATGTTTTCATGTGTTTTATGATTGTTCATGATTTAACAGGTTAAAGAAGCAGTACTGTATTCTATTTCCTTACAATATATTGGGGCACCAAACATTCGCGATTTTTCAACATTTGCGAGGTTCTTGATCCCTTAACCCTCGCGAATGTTGAGGAAGATGTGTACTACTATACAGAAAGCTATTTGTTATGCAAAGCATTTCAGGCAAATTAGATCAGTTTTGTCTTACGATGCGACCCACACCAGTCGACTAACACCTAGGTACCCATTTTACTGATGGGTGAACATAGACTACCGGTGTAAGGAAACACATCCAATGTTTCCACCCCTTCGCCGGGAATCGAACCCAGGCCCTCACCATGTGAAACGGGAGCTTTTGTCACCAGGCCACCAAGGTAAATAATAATATTTGTTGCATTTGTAGTCTTAAGCAACAAAAACATTATCATTTTTATTATTGTAAGATCTGGATGTCTAAAAAAAAGTTGTCTGGCTTTTTTTTATTATAGGGGGGGGGGAATCCCAGAATATAACCTTATTTTTCCCACAAGTTCTTCGGTTTATATAACAGATTTATTTAACATGGCATTTTTAGGAAAGTATTTACCGTGTAATATGAGGATCTACTGTAAGTACAATATATTCTCAGTAAAACACTAATTTTTACAATACCTGCACAAGAGCTGGTTGCTGAATTATAATTGGCCGAGCCCTTAATTGTCGTGGGGGTGAACGCCGGAGGTCCACCATTATATCACTGATGGCATGCATGGCATGTGAAACGAAATGAAGTACCTCTGATACCCGCCACAAAAGCCACTGCTCTTGTTGTAATGAGGCTGTATCCTGCAAGACAAAAAATGTAACTTTCATTAATTTTAGAAAACTAATCCTAACTGCAGTTAAATGGTATCTTTTAACATGGTGAATACAGTAATCTCTTACCGAACAACCAGGATGCAGTTCAGAGAAATCAGTCTAAGCAAGTTCAATGCCAAATGAACCCCCAGTCTTCAAATGACACCCAAGTTATCGTCAGAAACAAGTCCCAGAACAGTAATAATATACAGCAAGACCTCTCATAGCACATGCCTACTTAACACTTTTTAACAGAATGCTATTCACATTTATACATAAAAAATATTCGTATTTAGTTTTGCCAGAGTTTAAGCTCAGAAAAAAAAATTATAAAGGTGACTCAGTCATGGAAACTTTTTTATTCAGTTGTATGGGTGCAGGAGGAAAGAGGAGTGATTGGTAGAATGATGAGGAAAAGTGTGCGATAAAAGAAAAGGGTCGCTTAAGAGGTGTTTTTACAAAGCAGAAGTGATACAAGAAGGGTGGGGTATATCGAGAGTAAAAGAACGGTGAAGAGAGTTGTGTGAGAGTGCAAAAGGAGAGCAAATGATAGAGTGGGCGAGACATTGTCAACAAATTTGACCGAGAATAAGAAAAAAAATTTGGACTGACATAAAAAAGATCAGAAAGCCTAGGGAACAAATGGATTTGTCAGTTAAAAACAGAATAGGGGAGTCAGAAGATAGGGAGTTGGAGGCACTGGCAAGATGGCGGCAATATTTTGAGGAACTTTGAAACGTCGATAAAGAGGGAGGGAATAATTTCATGCATTGGCCAGGGAGATATAACATCTTCTAGGAGTGAAGAAGTGCCGGATGCGAGTGTGGGGGAGGCGAGTGAGGCATTACAGAGAATGAAAAGGGGTAAAGCAGCTGGAACTGACAAAATCATGACAGAAATGTTAAAAGCAGGGGGGCTGGAGTGGTTGGTATTTTTGATCAATAAATGTTTGAAAGAGAGGAAGGTACCTAGGGACCGGCAGGCCAGGGGCCAGGATTCTCTGGTGCTTGGCTGGTCAACCAAGGAGTTGCTGTTGGTAGCCTGCTGGCCCCTAGGTTTACAAGCCAGCCAGTGTGCACGCATCTAAGGATATATTCGGTACATTCCATATTATCACTGTTTTTGATGCTTGTTTCTGCAAAATAAGTAACCATGGGCCCCAAGAAAGCTTCTGGTGACAACCCTTCGAGAAAAAAGGTGATAATGACTACTGAAATGAAGAAAGAGATAATTGCAAAGTACGAAAGTGGAGTGCGTGTGTCGGAGCTCGCCAGGTTGCATAGTAAACCCCAATCAACCATCTCTAATATAGTGAGCAGGAAAACGGCAATCAAGGAAGTTGTTCTTGCAAAAGGTGCAACTTTGTTTTCGAAACAGAGATCACTAGTGTTAGAAGATGTTGAGAGACTGTTATTGGTGTGGATAAATGAAAAACAGATAGCAGGAGATAGCATCTCTCAAGCGATCATTTGTGAAAAGGCTAAGCAGTTGCATGATGATTTGGTAAAGAAACTGCCTGCAACTAGTGCTGATGTGAGTGAATTTAAGGCCAGCAAAGGTTGGTTTGAAAGATTTAAGAATCGTAGTAGCATACACAGTGTGGTAAGGCATGGTGACGCTGCCAGTTCGGACCACAAAGCGGCTGAAAAATATGTGCATGAATTCAAGGAGTACATAGAGGCTGAAGGATTGAAACCTGAACAATTGTTTAACTGTGACAAAACAGGCCTGTTTTGGAAGAAATTGCCAACCAGGACCTACATTACTCAGGAGGAAAAGGCACTCCCAGGACATAAGCCTACGAAAGACAGGCTTACTCTTCTGATGTGTGCCAATGCTAGTGGTGATTGCAAAGTGAAGCCTTTATTGGTGTATCACTCAGAAACTCCCAGAGCTTTCAGGCAAAAGAATATCCTCAAGGCTAGTTTGTGTGTGCAGTGGAGGGCAAACAGTAAGGCATGGGTCACTAGGGACTTTTTCTGTGACTGGTTACACCATGCATTTGCCCATACTGAAAAATTACCTCCTGGATAAGAAATTAGACCTTAAGTGCCTCCTGGTATTAGACAATGCCCCTGGTCATCCTACAGACTTGGCAGAGTGAATTTCTGGGGACATGAGCTTCATTAAGGTCAAGTTTTTGCCTCCTAATACCACTCCTCTCCTGCAGCCCATGGACCAGCAGGTCATTTCCAACTTCAAGAAACTGTACACAAAATCTATATTTCAAAAGTGCTTTGTAGTGACCACAGAAACTCAACTGACGGTAAAAGAGTTTTGGAAGAATCACTTTAATATCCTCAATTGTATAACCTTACAGGTAAGGCTTGGGAGGAAGTGACTAAGAGGACCTTGAACTCTGCTTGGAAAAAACTGGGTTTGAGGCTAACCCTGAGAATCCTATGCCAGTTGAGGAATCCATTGTCACATTGGGGAAGTCCTTGGGGTTGGAGGTTAGTGGGGAGGATGTAGAAGAGTTAGTGGAGGAGGACAATGACGAACTAACCACTGATGAGCTGCTAGATCATCTTCAACAGCAAGAGGCCAGACCTGAGGAAACTGCTTTGGAGGAGGGGATAGAGAAATTGAAGAAGTTGCCTACTTCAAAGATTAAGGAAATGTGTGCAAAGTGGCTTGAACTGCAAACCTTTTTTGAAGAAAATCACCCTGACACAACTACTGCAAGCCGTGTTGGCAACCTGTACACTGACAATGTTGTGATCCACTTTAGGAACGTCATAAAGGAACGAGAGGTACAGGCCTCTATTGCCAGATATGTTGTGTAACACAAGTCCAGTGACTCTCATGCTGGTCCTAGTGGCATTAAAAGAAGAAGGGAAGTAACCCCGGAAAAGGACTTGCTACCTCAAGCCCTAATGGAAGGAGATTCCCCTTCTAAACACTAACACCATCCACACTCTCCCCTCCTCCCATCCCATCAATCATCACCAGATCTTCAATGAAGGTAAGTGTCATGTAACTGTGCATGTCTTCTTCAGTTTGTGTGTATTAAAATTAATATTTCATGTGGTAAAAATTTGTTTTTTTCATACTTTTGGGCGTCTTGCACGGATTAATTTGATTTCCATTATTTCTTATGGGGAAAATTAATTCGACTTTCGATATTTTCGACATTCGATGAGCTCTCAGGAACGGATTAATATCGAATGTCGAGGGTCCACTGTAATAATACATATATAATAATAATGTACTACATATAATAATTATAATAATAGACGGCTTCAAAAGACCGTCACTAGATGGCAGTGTTTACCACAACAAAGAGGAGCAGTTGTGGCCGTCTCCACCTGTTACATAATGACCTATTTTATTCATTCTAGAGTATATATCGTGTTTCTATGTTATTCATATTGTTTGTTATGTCATACTAGATGAACTGTGATAGATAAATAAGCCGTATAGATGACATTAGCGAAATCATTCATGAAGTATTTTGCCCGGTGTCCAGACAAATTCTCGTCCACCGCCGACACCGCCCATACCACTACATGAATGACATATTTTATTCATTTTAGAGTATATATCAGGTTTCTATGTTATTTATATTATACAAAGTGAGATAGATAAATAATCCATAGAGTTGATATTAGCGAAATTATTGAAGTACAGAATTCCACTGGAACGGATTAATTGCATTTCAATTAATTTAAATGAGGAAAATTGACTCTGTAAACAAACAAATCCAGTTGCGAGCAAGGTCATGGAATGGATTAAACTCGCAAGTAGAGGTTCCACTGTATTTATTGTAAGAAATCAAGTGTGGTATGTATGGTAGTCAGCCGGGCTACCATACCAGGCCACACCACCCACACATTTGGAGAGGCAGAAACAACGAGAAACCAGAAGACTGCCGTGGAAACTTCCAACTCATTCTCGGTGCTACCTGACGAATGTGAGTGTTCTACTGGGAATGCCACAACGAGCACCAAGGAAGCATTGGCAGACGTGAGGGAGACATCCCTAGAAACCCCAACGAAGACCATCGAGAACGTCATGACGAATTCTACAAGTGGTGTAATGCTACCTGGCGAATGTGAGTCGACTACTCGGAGCATCACTACGGACGACGCCAAGGAAGGGTTTAAAAACATTGTTGTTGTTGGGGATAGCCAGATTAGGTACATGGATAGGGCATTCTGTTTGAAAGGATAGGAGTAGGAGGCAGAGAGTGTGTTTTCCTGGGGCTGGGATGAAGGATATTGTTAGCCGTCTGGATACATCATGAGAGGTAAGGGGAGCAATCCTATTATCTGTCTCAGTGCTGGAGGCAACGATGTTGGCAGACGTAGGAGTGAGGACCTGATTAGCAGGTATAGGTCAGCAATAGAGATAATTAGGAAGAAGGGTGGGAAACCTGTCATATGTGGCATTTTGCCAAGGAGAGGGTTGGAAATGAATGGTTGTCCAGAGCAATTGGTGTCAATTGCTGGCTGGACAAATACTGTAAGGAAAATGCGGGAACATTCATTGACAACTGGGACCTTTTTCTATGGCAGAAAAAGACATGTATGCCAGGGGTGGGTTCACTTGTCTAGGTGTGGGGTGGGAGCACTGGCCAACGCAGTGGAGGGAGCTGTTAGGTCTTTAAACTAGGAATAGTTTTGTGGTATGGGTTTTGGCGGGAAAACTGTGAAGTCGCAGGGTAGTAAAATGACTACTAGGAGAACTAGTAATAGGCAAAATGAGGAGGATATTGGAAAGCCAGTGGCACTAATTGACAATGACAGTAATAGGTTTTGTGGAATAACAGAAAGGAGCAGGAAGGGTAAAGAGATAGGAGGGTCATTAAATATTTATTACACAAATTTGTCGCAAATGCTAGGAATAAAATGGACGAGTTGAGACTAGTTGCTAGTGCAGGTAACATAGATGTATTTGCCATTACTGAGACGTAGTTTAATTCAAAAAGTCGGGACATGCCTGCAGAATGTCACATTCAGGGTTTTAAATTGTTCCAAGTAGATAGA